ACAGCACAGGTGGGTTTTCTCCCCTCAAGCCACAGCACAGCAGCCACAGTGGGCTCTCCCCTCAGGCTGCAGCGGCCACAGTGGGCTCTCTCCCCTCAGGGGGCAGCATCCACAATGAGCTCTTTCCCCTCAGGCTGCAGCACTCGGGCAGCTTTGGATCCCCTCAGGTCAGCTGAGTCTCCTAAGAATGTCTTGGGTGGTTTCTACCTTCTCGTGCTCCTAGGGATGGAAGGGTGGCCCATCCTGAAGCGTTCTCCCAGCCAGTGGCTCTGGGGCCTTGTGGGGCACCGCCCATACCATGCTGTCTGCAGAGAGGCTCTCAACTGCGGAAGCCCCACAGGGCTCCTAACTAGACCTCTCTTGTCCACCTCCATCTTCGCCCTTCTCTCTAGAATGGGTTTGGAAGCACTGGTGGAATCATATGCGTTCTGGCGACCTTCACTACGGACACTCACCTTTGAAGATATCCCTGGAATTCCCAAGCAAGGTAACTCACAGGTTTCTGGGCTGCCCTGAGCCCGGGCACTCAAGTTGCACGTCATCCTCTGCACCTGCAGCGGGGACCTCGCCACCACAGCCTTTTCCTCAGGGTCCATCTTGTTCCTTCATGTTATGGGGATGGACCCGGAAAAATGGCTTTTGTACTCATAGGTTAAGTCTTGGATGTTTTAGGCTGTTTATATTATTTCATGAACTTGACCTCATCCTTAAATTTTGTATTAAAGTTTGAGGAGGGCTCGTGGGCTCCCATGCCAGGTACATGTCCCAAGACATTGCAGCCACTGCCTCAGTCCCCCCTTCTCCACAGCCGCTCTTTTCTTTCTCTCTGGCAACTGGGTTAGTGAGAAGCTGGGCAGACTCACTGGGGAGGCCACCCTGGGCTCATGGCTGGACATTCCCACCTGCCAGTGCCCAGATCTCTCTATAGGGATCTGTCTACCCTATCTGCTCAGCAGGGGCACCTGCTCCTGCCACCGTTAGCCCCTCACCATGAGCCCTGGCCTTCAGAGAGAACTCGGTGCTGGTTTTGGATAATTGCCATTGGTTGGACTGGGTTTTTAGGTTGTTTTGAGAAGCCATGTGAAGCGCTATGGCCAGAGCAGTGAAGGTTTTACCACCTGGCTGGCTCCTGGGGGTGCTTCCCTCCACCTGCCAGCACCTCCAGCAGTGGAGAGCCAGCCACCATCACTGTCCCTGATGGGGTGTAAGCCAGCCTCCCTCTCTGAGGCCCTCAGGACTGTGCGTCTCCTGGGCCTCTGCCTTGTGTCTGCCTTGGGGTCCAACAACCTGCTTTCTGGCTGGAACAGATCTGGGAGGCCTGCACTGCTCACAGTCTCACCACACCAGGGAGCTGTGCAGGGGGCAGCGAGACGTGTCCCAGAGAAGCACAGGTCTCCTTGGGGCAATGTTGTCTCTTTGACCGACTGGATACTTACCTTTGAGTTACTTCTTTTTCCTTGGAAGGAAGTATATTGATCTAGAGAAGTCTTGCTAAGATAAGAAAATAGAGTGAGATGAAATTTATTTTTTATAAAGTTGCTAGCAAAGTCAGTATTTCATAACATTTATCATAATGAGAAACTCTTGAAAGAGCTAATTGAGGGAGAAAATGTGAAAATTCCAAATGAAAGTGACCTATCTCCTGCCAAAATTTAATCCTTGGGGAGATAATTTGCCTTAAAAATATTGACAGAATCTTCATTTAAATCATTTCAGTCTGAACTGAGTTAAATTATGAAATCCTTGACAGCCGTGACCATGTCCTTTGCGTCCCTGCGGCCCCGTCCTGCGGTGTCTCCTGCTCCTTAGGCGCTCAGGAGCAGCTGCTATTTACAAGAGTGACAGGAACAGTCTGTGGGTCGTATCTTTCTTCACATCTAACTTGTCTTGTAGGCAACTCGGGTTCCTCCGCCCTACTGCAGAGTTCTGGAAGTGGCGTGCCCGCCACCCACCCTCACCTGCTGTCCGGCTCCTCCTGCTCCTCCCCAGCCTTCCATCTGGGGCCCAGCACGGGCCAGATGTGCAGCCTGGCCCCGGCCGACTACCCAGCCTGCGCCCGCCCGGGCCTCGCACTCAACCGCTATGGCTCGTCGCTGGCCGAGACCTACAGCCGGCTGTCCAGCCAGGCTGGGGACGCCTTTGCCCCGCCCAGGACTCCTTCCTACGTGGGCGTGGGCAGCAGCTCATCGGTGAATGTGGCTGTGGGGGGCACCGACGGGGACAGCTTTAGCTGCCCACAGACCAGCTTGTCCATGCAGATTTCGGGGATGTCCCCCCAGCTCCAGTACATCATGCCCTCGCCCCCCAGCAACGCCTTTGCCGGCAGCCAGACCCCCCAGGGCTCCTACAGCACGTTCCGGCTGCACAGCCCCTGTGCCCTGTACGGCTACAACTTCCCCACCTCCCCCAAGCTGGCCGCCAGCCCTGAGAAGGTGGTCTCGTCCCAAGGGAGCTTTCTGGGGTCCTCACCGAGCGGGACCACGACCGACAGGCACATGTTGGCCCCAGTGGAGGGAGTGCACCTGCTGGGCGGGGGTGGCCAGCAGAGCTTCTTCGACTCAAGGACCCTGGGAAGCTTAACTCTGTCGTCGTCCCAGGTGTCGGCGCACATGGTCTGACCACTGCTGGTGACCCACGCGCGCATCTGCCTGATGCCTTTTCCTCCCTTGTCTGTCTTCTTTTTTAAAAAGTGATATGGAGAGACACTGTCTGTAGCTTATTAAATGTACATGTAACAGAAAGTGAAGCCCATATCCGCTGCCGTCCGTCTCTCAGGGAGACTGCGTCTCTGGTGTGGGTGGGCGCTGCGGGGACACAGCCCGGGGTGTCACCACCTGTTTCCCGGGTCCCCCGCAGTACATTTAACCGCAGTGCTCTGACCCCTGTAGAAACAAAAATGTAAACTTGAAACTTGGCAACGATACTAGATGAAGACTTATAACTTAATTTATCAGAAAAATACTCTGAGCAGTTTCATACTTGCGTGCTGGTAACCAGCAGTGGCCAGCCTGCACTCTCGTGGTTTCTGTCACTCTTGCGCGCGGTGTCAGAGCCCCAAATACAAAGGCCAGCGGAAGGCTCAGTATTAGCTCCGAGGTACTTGCGAAGGATTAGCTTTTCATTCTGCTTGTTCTTACCCCAGGTACTGTATGACTTTGGGTTTCTAAAAGCCATAGCCCATAACGATTGTCACTTTCTTAGGGAAGGTGGAACACCCCTTGTGATCCCTTTTTTTTTTTTTCCTTTTCCATGGGTCGTATATGAGGTACTTATTTATCTACAGAGAATAAATTTCCAGTATTTTGGATTTGGGGCTCCTTTTATTTGGTTTATCAAATAGGCTTTTAAAGAATGTTCTATAAACATTTTCAAATTCAGCTTTCACCAGGGAAGGGATATATGGCATGGCTGGAATGGCAGAAAGAAAATAAATCCACCTCAGAGTCTTTGATTGTGATGAGAAATGTCTGTCTTTTCCTAAGAAGAAGAATAATGTTGTCACCTGTCCCTCAGGTTAGTATGTTTGGTTTTTTTCCTGTCTTGCATTGAGCTTCTTGACCCATGGTGTATGAGTAAGGAAAAGTCCATTTGTGCTATTTATTTAACTCCGACAAATTGAAACCTCCCCTCCTTTGCCTTATCCCTGAGTCTTCCCCCAAAGCAGGTCCTGGGCCTTTACGGTGCTAAATAACTCTGGAAGGAATTTCAAGAGGTTGTCTCCAGCTATGTCTTTTGGGGGTTATAGTGCAAAGGCCAAAGCCCATTACTCTGTAGCCCTCTTGGAGGACTAGGGAGGAAGATACTAATTACGATAAAGGGACTATAAAACTTTTAACCTCAACAGCATTTTTAACTGTGGAACTGGAGAAATGAAGATAGCATCATTATTTTTTTCAGATCTCTAAAATAATGTACACATAGCTACAGAGTTAAAAACAAGTAACTTTGATAGCTAACCTTACAAGATAAAGAGAAAAGGCTAAGAATACATTGTAGCCCTCCTGGTGAGAAAGTAAGACCAAGTATTTGTACATCGAACCATTACATTTCACCCGTTTGTCAAGCACAAAGATGTAATTTCCTTTCATTGCTAAACAGGATTCCTTTAACTCATTCCTAGCTTAGCTGGGGAAGGGTGTGGCTCCTGACTTGCTGGTTTATCTTACAACAGCACAGCTGCTGGGTGTGGAGGGCGAGATGCTGTGTGACAGTCTGCACAGGATGGGACTCTGTTACTAGATACTGACAGATTTCTTCTTGGGCTCTGTTGCAGTTCATCAAATTAGTACTGATTTTTAAATTCATATTACCATGAAAGGAAATGAAATATTTGTAGTAGCCATATCTATAAAAGATGGTTGAGTATAGTATTAACAGCTTGATAATTGGGAAAAGGCTTTGAGAGTGAGTGAGTGGCCTAATTCAGGGGAAGAGGGTTTTCTGTCCTGAGAAGGCATGGAAAATGATGCTCCATGCTCCCACGTCTTAGTAAGGAGAGTGTTTCCCTTTTTGCTTTTGGTAATTTGAGATGATACCACAATATGAGTGGAAATTTTTATGAATTTTTTTTGGTAAAATTCAGCAATATTGTACAAAAGCTGTTTCTTTTAGGTTTTATTGTAAATATTAATCACCATGTCACTTCAAAGACTAGCCTTTTATTGTATTAAATGACATACATACATTGATAATTATAATTATATATCTGTATTTTATTAAAAAATGCTTAAGAAATTATATTAAAGTGTGTTATTAAACCTTTTTATGATTTTGGAGGACAATCATTTTAAGCGTCTATAAATATTGTTCCAAAAATTGGCACACATGTTCATACACCCCAAACACTAACTCCATAGCTCTCAGTTACAAGGCAGGGTGAAATGGGCCTGCTGTTCATTTTTCATGTGTTAAATATAATTTCTTGGGGAGTTGGCCATGTCATTGAAGGTGAAGGCCCCTGACGAATGTTGAACACATGAAAATCTGCATGTGCGAGGACGAGGGCGGGTGGTCTGTTTTGTTTTGAGTCCAAGGAAGGAAGGCCAGGGCATAGTACAAGCTGCTTGCACCACTGACCAGTGATGACAGATGACTTCTGTGCCCCCGACCGGCAAACATTCCAAGGGACATTGTGATGGGGTGAGGTTGCTGTTATCAAGCCCAGTCACATTTTGAAAATTAACACTCAGTTCTCTACAAGCTCCTTCCCAGAGGTCAACAGCTTTTCACAAGGGGAGCACCCAGTTGCTGACCCTTGATTTCTGGAATGTAGGGGGTCAGGAGACCTTAGCAGCTCCCAGGAGAGGCTGGGGCACAGTGCAGGGTGTGGAGGGAAGGATCATACTCTCTACACCAGTGAGTTAGCACAATTTTGAGAAAAAGGAACCTGAGTTTTAAAATATAAATAGCTCTTTATCACCCCCAGACATAAATCTATCAGTAACTCACACCCTAGCGAAATCAATAAACAGCAGATTTGGAGATAGCTGAAGGTTTGATTAGGAGAAAAAAGTAATTTTTGTCACAAGGAAACTATAGGGAGATTTGGATTAGGGAGGGGTATGGAGCTGCTAAAAATAACTATGTCATAAACTTCTCTCAGGAGCTGGTGGGTGCTATGCTGATGCTCTTTCTAATTCAGGGTTTGTAAAGAATCTGTTTTTTTTTGAAGGGTAATACAGTGTTCTATTTCCTCCCGGGGAATTTACTTGCTCATCTATAGGAAGGCTTTCCTAAATTTTCCATTGGGAATCAAATAATTTGATTAAATTGTTACCATGTTGTATTTTAATTGCATTGTTCATCCTTTCTGAAAATAAGTTCTCAGATGAGTTGAGGTTAAGGTTAAATATATGAGCAGTTAAGTAGACAGACTTTATTACGTTTTAGGAACTCAAAGCTTAAGAATTAACATCTATGACAGAAATGAACAAATGATATGTATTCAAGTATAGAAATATTCAACAGATATATACATTTGTATTCCTCCACGTGGAGATAGGTGTTTAAAAATTTTATTTTTATGCAGTTTTGCTATGATTAAAATATCATTACCTTGGGAATTAGAGAACTTGGTTTCAAACCATGGGTTTTTCACTGATAATTTTGGGTAAAATCTTAGCCATTTTAGGTCTCAGTTTTCTCATGTGTGAAAGGAGCAGCTGGAATGAGAATTGTTATTGTTCCTTTCAGCTTCAAATTCACGTGATCCTAGCGTGTAAATATTAGGAAACTGGTTTCATGAAATAATGTATTTTGGAATGTGCATGTATTTATTTTCGGATATATATACTGTTTCTATTTCCTTACAAGGAATATAACACCAGCCAAGTTGCTGGATTATGTATAATGTAACTTTCAAATGGAACTATGTGTTAGTTATTAATATTCATAAGACATTTCAGTATTTTAATACTTAAAAGAGGCTATACTTAGTAATGTATTTGCTACTTCATACTGAATATTAAAAATACATTAATGAAATTTACTTTTCATGATGCTCTTAAATGGCATAAAAATCATTTTATTTTGGAATAAGTATGACAATCTAATAGAATATCTAGAGATCATTCCAAGTCCACTCAAACATTAAAACCCTCAAGAAAACCCTTGAACTTTTTTTTTTTGAAGGGTTTTATTCATGCTGAGATTCAGATATACGTAATAATGCTCTGAAATTCTCTGAGTTTTTGCAAGCCTATATCAACATGTACACCCTGCATCCATGCTTTAAATCATATTAATCAGGTCACTAGAATAAATAAGGCCAAGACACCTTTATGAATGACAGCTATATTGAGATAGAATTCACCTACCATACAAGACGCCTATTTGAAGTGAACAATTCAATGGTTTTTGATATATTTAAAGAATTGTGTGACCATCACCACAATCAATTTCAGGACATTTTTATCACCCTGCAAAAAGCGCCATGCCACTAATGTCACCCTCCTTTCCCTCCACTCTTCCTTTACCCCCAAATCCTCGGGAGCCACTCACCTGCCTGCTCTGTGCAGACTTGCCCATCTGGACATCCTGTGGGATGGGCTCATATACTCCATGGGCCTCTGTGGTAGGCTGTTCCCACTCAGCACAAGCCTCATCCAAGCTGTGGTGTGTATCAATATTTTCTTCCCTTATAATGCTGAGTAATATTCCACGGTGTGGACGTACCATAATTTGTTTATTCATCAGTTGATGGACATTGCTGCTCTCAGCTCTCGTGACGTTGCTGTGAACCTCTGTATATGGCTGTCGTGGGGGATGTGCTTTCACTTCTCGGCTCATGCCTGGGAGAGGAACTGTGCCGTGCTAAGGGGCAGGACACTCGCCCTCACGTGCTCAGCAGCAGCGCCCCATGGCTCTGACCTCCCAAGTCCTCGCTGGCAATGTTATCATCCATCTTTTTTGTTCTAACCAGCCCCATGTGCATGAAGTGATGTCTCATTGTGGTTTCAACTTGCATTTTCCTGATCCTTAATTATGTTGGACTCCCTTTCTTGTGCTTTATTCTCCATTTGTGTATCTTCTTTGGAGAAGTATCTATTCAGATTCTTTTCCTATTTTTAATAGGGATGCTTTTTCATTACAGAGGTGGAAGAATTCTTTATGGATTTTA